CTTCTTAGTACTTGTGTACTCGCCGTCATTAGCTTTAAATCTTGCCTTTTAATGATGTAAGCCAACTTGGGTCCTTTTCAAAGAGAAAGGTGGGGATAAAAATATTTTATATTAATATTAACTAATATTTTAAACTAATTAAATAAATAAATAAAACTCAGCAAGTGCTGGAAAGAGCCAGGCTATGCCGACTAACCACTCTCCATATACTCTTGTGTCCCTCTCTCTATTTTCCCCTTCAGCTTCAAAGATCGGTGGTTGCCTCTGGGGAAAAGCAGCAGAAGGTGGACTACCGGATAAGCAAGAGGTAAGGGCTTAAAGGCAAGATACACACAGAGAACAGGTCTCCCTCCCTCCCTCCCTCCCTCCCTCCATTCTTCCGGATAAGCAAGAGGTAAGGGCTTAAAGGCAAGATACACACAGAGAACAGGTCTCCCTCCCTTCATTCTCTCTCTCTCTCTCTCTCTCTCTCTCACACACACACACACACACACACACACAAACTCTCTAGCAAAATTGATTGCATTTCTTCTGCATTTTGTTTATGCAAGAATTCGCCCGCAGTGCAAGAATTCGCCAAAAACCTCTCTAGCAAAATTGCTTGCATTTCTTTTGCTATTCGATCGTGCAGACGGCAACACATGTCTCTTCCATCTCGGGCAAGCCGTTCTGCAAGGTTTACATTCCCGGCAGGACAATGTTGTAAGAGTAGGAAGCACCTGTATTTACCTTTGCATGAGACCACCTGACCCTAGTAGGGGATCATCTGACCCTTGACATTCGTTGGAACACACAATCCAGGTCTCAAGGGGTCTCTCTCTATCTCTATCTCTTTCTCTCTCTCTCTCTCAAATCTCCCCTTCCCCCTTTATACAGTGGGGCGAGCTTTCCCCGATGTGTTCAACAAGAACCTCCCCATCCAGAGCCATTCCGATTGGGGTCAACAGGCCCACACCAGCCGAGGGTCAGGCTGTATAGCTTCCAGCTGCACGGCTCATTTCCTTTGCAGAAGACTTCCCTACGTTAGGAAAAAATGACTCTTCGAGGCCTCAGCCGTTCAGACACCCAAAGGGTGACGTAGGCGTTTGCTATGGTTGCACAGCAGTCCCCGCACATATTTTTCAGCATGAACTCACGGCTGGATCGTACAATCTCCATTTACCACTGGAATTTCATTCTCCGGCTTTTGAGGAACAGCCGGAAGAGTGAGACGTTAACTCTTGCCTCGCCTCGGGCGTTTTTAGGAAACGTATATACAGAGAGGAAGAGAAGGAGCGCCTCCTGAAAAGCAAGGCTGGAAATGAATATATTCCTGCATAATGTGATGATGCAGGAATATATACCCTGCTTAGCTCTTGCAAATCAAAGCCTGCGGTTTCTTTTAGGGAGTCAGACCATCACTTATCTGGTCTTCCTCTTTTCCTGCTGCCTCGAACCAGAGCGCCTCCTGAAAAGCAAGGCTGGAAATGAATATATTCCTGCATAATGTGATGATGCAGGAATATATACCCTGCTTAGCTCTTGCAAATCAAAGCCTGCGGTTTCTTTTAGGGAGTCAGACCATCACGTATCTGGTCTTCCTCTTTTCCTGCTGCCTCGAACCATTCCCACCGTTATTGTCTTTTCCAGAGAATCCTGCCTTCTCAGGATGGGTCCACAGGGAGTTCAGGCTCCAGTTTAATGCTTTTCGCCTCCAGAGAAAGTTCGCGTTGGATTTGATCAAAGAGACACTTATTCATCTTTCTGTTGGTCCCGAGGGTCTGCCCTGTAGAGTCCTGAGCGCTCTGTACGGATATGAAAGTTGGGCGAGGACAGATGCGAGGAAAGAAAAATCAATTTGTTTAAAATACGGTGCTGGGGTAGGGCTTTGCAGATCCCCAGGAACTGAGAAAAAGAAAAACTGTAATGCTAGAAAAACTGAAGGCCGCAGGAAAAGAGGAAGACCGGATATGCGATGGATTGACTTCCCAAAAGAAGCCACAGGCATGAGTTTGCAAGAGCCGATCACTGACAATATGACATTTTGGGGGTCACTGATTCCTAGGGTTGAAACAACGTCAGAAGGTGACACGGCAAAACGTAATAACAGCGACAAGAGAAGTACCGCATCCAGTTGACCGTTATTGTCTTTTCCAGAGAATCCTGCCTTCTTAGGATGGGTCCACAGAGTGTTCAGGCTCCAGTTTAATGCTTTTCGCCTCCAGAGAAAGTTCACGTTGGATTTTATCAAAAACACACTTATTCATCTTTCTGTTGGTCCTGAGGGTCTGCCCTGTAGAGTCCTGAGCGCTCTGTACGGATATGAAAGTTGGGCGAGGACAGATGCGAGGAAAGAAAAATCAATTTGTTTAAAATACGGTGCTGGGGTAGGGCTTTGCAGATCCCCAGGAACTGAGAAAAAGAAAAACAGGTGAGTCCTTGATCAAATCAAGGGGGAACCTCTTTCTAGAATAAAAAAGAACTGAAATTAGGCTGCCCTACTTTGAGCACATCATGAGAAGGCTCGGAAAGTAATGCTAGGAAAAACCGAAGGCCGCAGGAAAAGAGGAAGATGGATGGACTTCCCGAAGGAAGCCACAGGCATGCATTTGCAAGAGCTGATCACTGACAATATGACATTTTGGGGGTCACTGATTCCTAGGGTTGAAACAATAAGTCAGAAGGTGACACAGCAAAACGTAACAACAGCGACAAGAGAAGTACCGCATCCAGTTGCTAATGACAGAACGCAGCAAACCGGCTTAACAGCCAAAGGCCAGCCTGTGTATCAGAAGGACGGCAAATCTCAGACATCCTTGGGAGGGATTTCCACCACCCCGCTGCTTTGGCAGTTCTCCCTTGAGACTTCACCCATTTGGTTCTGGCTGTGAAGCCAGAGGTTGTGAGTTCGATTCCCGCCCCTGTGCCTCCATGAGAGGGGGTGGACTCGATGATCGACGGGGTCCCTTCCGGCTCGGCAATTCTAAGCGGGCAATCGTTGATTTACTTTGATCCTAAATCACAGGTAGAACTAGCAGTGTTAGCAGAGAGTGTGAAAAGTGCCATTTAATTTAATGTGGCGAAGACTGCCGTTCCAAATGCGCTTTCTAAGGAGCAACCTCGCTGAATGCCATGGGACGCCTCTCCAAGTAAACCGTCAAGGTTGCACTAAAAAAAAAACGGATGATGAAAACACACATACACAACGGGGAAAGTGCTCCTTACACCATGCAAATGTGGGAGAAGGCGATCCCTTTAATTAGACCTCTAAAAAAATTAAACCGTCAAGGTGAGCTTTAGTGAAGAAAAATTATAAACAGATGTTTCAAAACTTTGTGGCAGATGTTTGCCAGGTGTGCTTCTTAAGGCGAGTTTAAAGCTGGCTTTGACCAGGGCTTTGGGGTGGGTACTTTAATGCTTCACCCTCAGTAACGTGTGGCTGGAATTTTTCCACCCAGCTACTCAGACAGATGTAGCCCATCACTCTGCATAAACCTCGGGGCAGAAAAATTAGAAAGGGACATCCCAAAAAGTCAAAGCCGACGCTTGCCAGGCTTAAGGTGAGTTTTTAGAGGGTGCATTTATTTATTCCTTTTCTGCACTGTTCAAAAAATAGCCCTTGCATGCCTGAAGAAGTGGATTTTAATTCACAAAAGCTCACATTGAACGTTTGGTTCTTTAAGTGGTCTAATAAAAAAAAGGATCACCTTCTCCTGTATTTATTGGAGACGGCTCAACTTCTCACTTTCTGTTCCTCCGAACGTCTTGAGACCTTCCATTTCTCCGCATGTGTTTCAGCGCCTGGTTGAAAGACACTTTGGATCCGGTGCTAGTGGCCTTAGACCGGCGGATCGCAGCCCTGACTGGCTTGAACATCCATCCCCCTTTCGCAGAATATCTGCAGGTGGTCAACTACGGGCTAGGGGGCCACTACGAACCGCATTTCGACCATGCTACTGTGAGTAAAACTGGCTGCCTCGTGGAAAGGGCAGCGGAGGGGGGGGAATAGATATTGTTCGAACATGTTCAGATTCAGCAAAATCCATGTAAAAATAGAAATGGAAGTCTCTGGGTCCACGCATAAAACAGAAAATGTGATTACTATCCATAGCAGCAGAAAAGTATGCAAGTTTGCAGGTTGTACAGAATTCTTCATCCCAGAGGCATGCCAAATTTTCCCACCTTGGACTCCAGAGCATATAGTCCAATTCCATGAGCTCTGGGTTGCATGGGGGGGGGGGCAAATAAGCCATGCCATTGGAAGCAAATGTAAAAGTGCGGTCTAGCTGCACTTGTGAACTCTCATCAGATCTCCAGCCCACTTAAGGTTAATGAATTTCCCTACAAGCTTCTTGCTTAGCAGATTTTGTCCCCTCCCTAACTCAAAACTGGAAGGCGAGAATGTCGAGGGCTGCCTCGTGTACTAATCTGATGCCCATCTGTTCATCTGATACAGTCCAGGAAAAGCCCCCTTTACAGGATGAAATCTGGAAACCGAATAGCAACGTTGATGATCTATGTGAGTATTATTATTATTTTTTCTTCATTGAGAGCTGGGAAAGGATTTGTTTTGTGTTCTGGGTTTTTTCCCCCTGCACTCTTGAAGGGGGGCTTGATGGGGAATATTCAAAATCTTTTGTCTGTGTCTCAGGAAAGAGAATCTGTTGATATTTGTCTCTTTTTGTGGCTAAAATGGGTAGTTTTAAAGTAAAAATAACAAGACGTCTACATGGAAGGGGACATTTGGTTTAGTTTCTTTAATCCATCTGTCCATCCGTCCGTCAGTCCGTCCGTCCGTCCGTCCGTCCGTCCGTCCATCCATCCATCCATCCATCCATCCATCCATCCATCCATCCATCCATCCATCCATCCATCCATCCATCCATCCATTCAATTTACACACCAGGCATCTAGCAAATTTGCTACTCTGGTTGGTGTACAAAAAAAATTAAACATACATTATTCAGTAATATAGACAATGGACTACCCGGGACATAAATCATAACCCAAGACCGGTGGCGAGACAATTTCTGGAACATACTGGTACATTATTCTGCTCCTCCTTCCTCCAGTGCCCTAGCCATTCTCCCCAAAGTCTTCTCTAAACAGTTCTGTTTTTTGGGGGGGGGCTTTAAAAATGTGCAAACGTGTCATGTTTCCAGTGGGAGAGCTTTCCAGGCATAGAGAAAACAGGCCAAGGTAAATGATGCAGAAAGGAGAAGCTGGGAGCAGGTGTACAAACTAACAAGCCTACGTGATCACACTTGGCGGCTTCTGTCCTCAGCAGTCATTCACGCCGACCTTGGGTTCACCCTTTGCGGTTTCCAGAATCCCCTTTTTCTTGGTTTCCCATTACAGAGTTTTAAACTTAATCATTTGTGTGTGCGAGGCGGCGGCGGTGGTTAGTGGAAGGAGCATCTAAACAGCAGCCAAACGTCTCTGGCGTAATGAAGCCTGGAGTAATGCTAACGACATGGGACGTGGTGGTGCTGTGGGTTAAACCGCAGAAGCCTTCGGGCTGCAAGGTCAGAAGACCAGCCGTCGTAAGATCGAATCCACGTGATGGAGGGAGCTCCCATCGCTTCTCCCAGCTCCTGCCAATCTAGCCATTCAAAATCATGTAAAAATGCAAGTCGATAAACAGGGACCACCTCGGTGGGAAGGTCACTGCGTTCTGTGTCTAGTCGCGCTGGCCACCTGACCATGGAAGATTGTCTACGGACAAAACGCTGGCTCTATGGCTTGGAGACGGGGATGAGCACCGCCCCCTAGAGTCGTACACAACTGGACTAAATGTCAAGGGGAATTTTTACTGTTTCCTAATGGTAACGACATAATTTTTAGACCGGAGTCGCTTCAAGTTATGAAACCAACATATGTCACCTTATCTGTTGCTGATAAATTCCTGTAGCCCAGCAGATGTCCAATCACATCTGCGCTGATTGCATAACTGGACAGAATTTCCGCAAGAGGGTTTTGGCCCGTGTTGTGCACCGACAGCTAATGTGTGTCGCCCTCCCCTCTTTTCTTTCGCCCAGCTGAGCTCCGTAGAAGCGGGAGGGTCTACGGCCTTCATCCATGCAAACATCAGCATCCCTGCTGTCAAGGTGAGCTTTTCTTCCCAGGACACAAAGGGGCTTTCCATTATTTCTAGTGTTGAAAGTGCCCCCCTCCCTGCCTTTAAAAAAACGGTGCATAGGGTGGGGATGTTGCTCAGAGGCAGCTCTCCAAATTCCCAGGGACCTAAGCTCTAAGCTTCGCTTTTTCCAGGGTGGCTGGACGGTGGGTCACTTGGCTGTTGTGTTCCTAACCTTTCACGTTCTGTTCTCCTTTCTATAAAGAACGCCGCTCTGTTTTGGTGGAACCTCCACAGGAATGGGAGAGGGAATGAAGACACCCTCCACGCTGGGTGCCCGGTGCTGGCGGGAGACAAATGGGGTAAGGTTCAGCCGCTTTGGACTATCATTCAGCCATCTTCCTCCTGAATTCATGCAGGAAAAAAGTAATCTCATGAGCTGGCCATCACATTGCTGTAAGGGCAGGGTGGAAAGACAGAAGCGTTGGTTGAAGGTGCTAGCCCGTTCCATGGAGAAGCTGTCAAAGCTTGGAGGTGACCTGGATGAGGCTCTTTTCAAATACAAATTCGTGGCAAGGAAGCAGGCTGACTTGTATCACAGCCTTTAAAAAACCAGAGCAAAATCAAACACAGAAGAAAGCCCATACAGAAACACTCTGTGTGTGTGTGTGTGTGTGTGTGTGTGTGTGTGTGTGTGTGTGTGTGTGTGTGTACATGTGCGATTGTGTGCCGTGTGAATGGAAGAAGTTCAACTTTCAGGATGTTTTTTGAAAATGCAGTTGCTTTAGTAGGCTTTGTTATAGCAAGAGAGAGACTCTGTCTTGTGGCAGATCTAAGACTCATATACCGTATTTTTCTGTGTATAAGATGCCACCATGTTTAAGACGCCTCCCACTTTTCTAACACAAAATTAAGAAATCTAAGTGGGGCTTAGCAAGTGTAGGGGGAAAGGGATCAAAGTGCTGCAGGATCGCTTTGATCCCTGCTTTCCCCTCCACTTCTTTTTATTCTCTCCTCAGCTTACTTCTGTGTATAAGATGCCACCATGTTTAAGACGCCTCCCACTTTTCTAACACAAAATTAAGAAATCTAAGTGGGGCTTAGCAAGTGTAGGGGGAAAGGGATCAAAGTGCTGCAGGATCGCTTTGATCCCTGCTTTCCCCTCCACTTCTTTTTATTCTCTCCTCAGCTTACTTCTGTGTATAAGACGACGCTCAATTTTTAGCCTGAAAATTTTAGACAAAAGTATAGTCTTATGCACAGAAAAATACGATATTTATTGCCCAAGAGATTTTGGTTAGAAGGGTGCACTTCTGTGTCGTGCTGTCTGGGTAACCCTGGGAGTTGTGCAAAAACACCACTCAGCACCCTTCTAATCTGGTGAATCACAAATCACATCTTTAGAGGTAGGTCGCTGTATACGAATAATGCCACTGGGGAGCATTCTGCCTATCATGCTCCTGTTTTGTTTTTAATGAACACATTGCAATGTTTTTTTTTAAAAAAAAGAGAGACGCAGAAGGCCAGAGACCTCATTCGGTCTACAAATCTCTCCTGCTTCCAATGCAAACGGGGAAGGGAGTCTGACTTTTCTCTTTTTCCCCACTGCTGAATCATCTATTGTGATTTGAACCCTGAGTGAGCATCGTTTCTCAAAAACTGGAGGCATCCCGCTTGGGTTGGCTTTTGCAACGACCTCTTCGGGTGCTAAAACAAAGGGATCTAATCAGTGACCAGAGTGTTGCGAAACCTTAGTGGGATCGATTCATGGCGGGTTCCCACCAAACTAAGGACTTCATCGGACAGCACTTTGATTGCCAACTCTTTTCCTAAGGGGGGGCTCTTCTGCCTTTAGCTGCCAGGGACAGAGAAGCGCAAGGTGTGAAAGCCATGGCCTTCCCTGTGTTCATGCACACCGTTCCAAGGAGCATTTGCAACAGTGTTCAGCTTTGACCTCTCGCTTCCTCCCACGGACTGAGCCCCTTTCTCCCTGATCTTTCCACAGTGGCCAACAAATGGTTCCATGAATACGGCCAGGAGTTCCGACGGCCCTGCGGCGTCCACCCGGAAGACTAGCCCCTCGGAGTCCCCTCTTCTTGGGTCCGGGAGACGAACCGAAGAAGTCGGCCCCTTACAGAGGGCGGGAGATGAGACCTTGAACGCCTTTCGCCTTCCCCCTCCGGCTGCTGCCGAATCTGGAAAGACCACCTGGTTTTGCCAGGCCCTGGGCCAAAAGTGCCTTGGCAAAGCTCCTCCGAGTCGTTTATTTAGTCTGGAGACGGTCAGGTGCGGAAAAGGGAAGGCAGCCACCGCCAGCCACGCAGGGGAAACAGGAGCAAGCGGGGGTCCTGGTTGAGGCCGCCACTAGCTTTTTTTCTAGCCTTCACCGGGGGGGGTGTTTCTAGGTGGGCGAAGGAAGCCGCAGAGCAAGCTGTTCTGTAAAGAGACAGAGCGTCTGACTCAGTATTGCTAACACGGACCGGCAGCAACGGCTCTCGGCTGTCCAGCAGGGGATTTTTTCACCCTAGAGATGCTGCGGGTTGAAACGGCCGTCTTGTGATTTTACCTGGGGGAGCAAAGCTTTGCCCTCCCCTCATCCAGGTGACAGGCTTGTTGTTGTTTAGTCGTTAACTCATGTCCGACTCTTCGTGACCCCATGAACCAGAGCACGCCAGGCCCTCCTGTCTTCCACGGCCTCGTCAACATAAAAGTGATGCTGGAACATCAAAGTATTAATGAAAATACACAACTTCGAAGCACTGCATAAAAATTTCACTTTTAGGGATAGGATATTGGTATTCATCTCCTGGGGGAGATGAATATGAATATTGCCACCACAGGTGGCAATTGGATCCTTCCCCTGAGGACAGGGCCATCTAATTACTGCTTGTGGTGTGGCAAGCATGACTGTCATTGTTTGCACTGTGCCAACTGTGGAAGTAGCCTGTCTGGGGCTTCCTCACCTCCCTGCACTGCTAACCAATCTGGTGAGGAAGCGGGATGATGAGTCTCCCCACTCAGCTGCTGAGTGGTCAGCAGTGCAGGGAGGCAGGGAAGCCCCGGCCAGGCTACTTCTGCAATTGGTGTGGCATGAACCACAACAGGCCACGTGCACTGCACTGTATAAGCAGTAAGTAGATGACCTGGTTCTTGGGGGTGGAAGAGAGTCCAATCAGCTCGGCCACCTGCGGCGTTCATATTTGTATTTGTGTCCCCTGGAAGACAAATATAAATATCCCATCTCTATTCACCTTTCTTTCAGGGAGCTCACAGCCAAACCTATCCATTCTAAAGGAAATCAACCCTGAGTGCTCACTGGAAGGACAGATCCTGAAGCTGAGGCTCCAATACTTTGGCCATCTCATGAGATGAGAAGACTCCCTGTAAAAGACCCTGATGCTGGGAAAGTGTGAAGGCAAGAGGAGAAAGGGGATGACAGAGGATGAGATGGTTGGACAGTGTCATCTAAGTGACCAACATGAATTTGACCCAATTCCTGGAGGCAATGGAAGACAGGAGGGCCTGGCGTGCTCTGGTCCATGGGGTCATGAAGAGTTGGACATGACTAAACAACTAAACAACAACAACAGCCACAAGCCTGCCTCCTCCTTCCTTTATCCTCCTCTCGCAAACAACCCTGTGAGGTGAAGAAATAAACAACTGAATAAAGCGCATTTCACAGTTTAGTGGGGACTACAACCTGGTCTCAGTGGGTGGTGAGCATCTGCTGATACGCAGAAGGCTCACCTCCTACACCCCTCTTCCCATCTAGAAATCTCTTAGACCTTTGCATGCTGGACTTGCAAGCAGAAATGGGCACGAACCACCGGTTTGTCGTTGTCCTGCTTTGTCTAAGGCTACAGAAGCATCACCTGGAGCAGACAGGGCAGGGAAGCTAGGATGCTGCTTCTGAGGGGGATGCCTCCCAGAGACCCCGGTGGTGCCCCCACCCGTCTGGAGCGCGCCTGCCTTAAGGAAAGCTTGTTCCATCTTGCCTCGCTCCTTCCTGCTTGAGTTCCTACATCTGACTCCCCCCCCACCCCCAGCCGCCCTTTGATAAATGAACGACCTTTCTCAGGATGGTTATACAGTTTAGAATGGTTATATAGGATCATGCTGGAGAACGGAGCACCCGATTGAGAAAAATAAATATTCCTGTTTATAAACAGCCTCGTGTATTCACACACTCGTTAACTCCTGTTTCCAGACATGGGAGGAACTCTGGCCCTTTGCAAAGATCATGAGAGTCTGACTTTTTGAAGAGAGGCAAGTCAAAAAGAGGGAGGCGGTGGATGGCTCGGGGGTTGAGGGGCCGAGGGGCCAAAGTTTGGAACTCTGACCCCCCCCCCCGCGCCTCCTTGACAGGGGCTGGACTGGATGATCTCGGAGGGTCCCTTCCAGCTCTGCTGTTCTAAGATTATAAAACATTATAAAGAGGTGGCAGGAAGGCGAGATTTGGGAGGACCCCCAAACAAGAGTGATTAACAACTTTCTTATACCATCACAAATCCCAGGCTTGTGTTCAAGTCCTCTGAGGGTTGTGTTCTCAGGCTGGGAAGAAAGAAAAAAGGCCCGGAATCATTACTAAGGTGCAGTTTTCACAGTTTACAGCCTCTCCCCTTTTTTGTTTTACTTCGCAAGAGCCAGCCTGGGTGGCCTTGGGCCAGCGGCACACTGTCCACCTCTTGAGTATTTTCTCTACCTGGAAAACCCTGGAAAGGGTTGTCGTAAGTCGGAACGGATCAAATGGCACATGATTTATGATAGTGCTGGCTGGATAGCTCAGTGGTTTAGATCTCCGGCTGAGGAGCCAGAGGCTGCGAGTTCAATTCCCCCACTGGGCCTCTCCAGAGAGAAGAGCCAGCCTGGGTGGCCTTGGGCCAGCTGCACAACAGCCCCAGAACTGCCCCCGCAGAGGGAGGGATCGGGAAGCCACTTCTGAGTATTGTGTCCCTGCAAAAGGCTGGAAAGGGTTGCCATCAGTCGGAATTGACTTGACATCATTATTATATGCAAGGTCTCTGAAAACGGCCACTCAAGGCAGTATCTAGAACTATCGTGTTTCCCCGAAAATAAGACAGAGTCTTATATATATTTTTGCTCAAAAAAAATGCAGTAGGGCTAATTTTCAGGGGATGTTTCATTTTTGTCATGTACAGCCATGTACATTGATTCAAACACAGTCATGTCAATTTCTTCTGGTTGCTGCACAAGGGTGGAGGGCTAAGATTTCACTGAACTGGGGCTTATTTTGGGGGTAGGGCTTATATATTATGAGCATCCTGAAAAATCATAGTAGGGCTTATTTTCAGGTTAGGTCCTATTTTCGGGGAAACAGGGTAGAACAAGTCATAGTTGTCTTTAAAAAAAAAAATTCCTGTGCTTCCTCAGCATCAGTGCACGCACGCACGCACAGTCTTAAGCAAAAATGGGCCCGCTCCTGGCATTGACAAAGGTGTGGGAGGGAAGGGAAAAGTGGAACAGGTCTTCCTGTTTGTGAGTACCCCTTCTCTTTGCGTTGTGTCTCCGTCATGGTTGTGTATTTCAGAGCACAGATTCTGTCACCTTGAGCCTTTTTGTTGTGTCGCAGGAAATCTGTCTATGTGAAGCCTTTGCTGGTGTCCGAAACCTTGTTGGGACGGGAATCACAGACCTTGGGGTACCTGGTCTCTGCCTGTCAAGAGGGGGCAACTTTACCTGGCAGGGAAACTGCTGTGTGTGTGTGTGTGTGGGAAAACGGCTGCCTTTTCTGCAAGAAACCTCTGGCTCCACATTGCCCTTGTGGCCCGAGGCCAAGAGAGTCAATATTTGAAAAGGCAAAAATTGTGGTTCATCTGTGCAAGAACAGCCACAGCATCACGTTTCAGGCTGATCTGTGTTAAGAAAGGAGAGATTCAACCACCCTCACCCCACGGCAATAGATTTTTTTGCTTTCTGTTTCTCTCTTAAGACTGTGTTGATTCAAACCATCAATGCATCTGAAACCTTCACAGGGGGAAAAGAAAGACGACCAGAAAAGGAGAACGTGTCTCTTTTGAAATGATGTTCTGGCTAGCAAGACGCTAGATACGGCTTTGCAATCCAGGGCGCAGTTTTGAAAATAAATTATAAAAATCTGCAGTTTTATATTTTTTGTGTATTTGATTGACAGGGCGTCTTTCTCCCGATAAGGAAAAATGGATATATAATTATCTATGAATAGCCTCATCATTCTTACGGCTGAAAGAACATGGGCATAGAACAGGTACCAAATCAAAGCATTCATAAATGCTAAGAACATTACCTTGGAAGGGCTGATCTCCATACAGCTACAGTTAGAGCCCAAAAGACTGATGGAATTACGTGGCCGATGCTCACAGGTCTGAGATGAATGGTTACGGGTGCATGCTGCCGATTGTTTAAAAAAAGGCAGAAAATATTTCCATGCATCTGACATTTGGAGAGATACTGCCACCAAGTGGCCCTGTTGCAGGTGGGAGAAGACACAGAGATACAGGAACTCCTTGCTTTGGAATAAGCACAAAACAGGCTTCTTGCCTAGGGAAAAAAAACCAGCTTGCCTCCAGAGAGTCCTAACTGCATCTTTCTGGACTCTTGACGAGGGGTTTCTACTTTTTTGGTACAGGTAAAAGTGTCCAGTTCCAGTGTGCGTGATCACTGGGAAAAGACCAAAAGCCTTCTTTTTTCGATCTTTCTTTTGAACAGGCAATATAGCAAAATGGCATACTTAGGGCCACTTGAACGTAGTGGTTACTTAAACACTTCCTCTGCTCCTCACAGTGGAGAAGCTGAGGAAGTGAAAAAAGTTTTTAGCTTTCATCAGATCAGCAAAAACGTGCTGCATCACTTACAGGTTTTTTTTAAAAAATCTTTTCTTTCCCATGTCTTAAAAACTGGTTGAGAAATGGCCCACAGCCAAATCCACCACTGTGGCAGTTTCTCAAATGGCCCTTTTAAGACAAGCGAAATACTGTAGCTGTATTTGTGTAGGATGTGTCATAGGTTCTCAATCAGACCTTTAAGAGAAATGTATTAAGTTGTTGTTTAGTCGTTAAGTCGTGTCCAACTCTTTGTGACCCCATGGACCAGAGCACGCCAGGCCCTCCTGTCTTCCACTGCCTCCCGGAGTTGGGTCAACTTCATGTTGGTAGACTTTGCATTAAGTAGACTTCTTTTAAAAAGTAGACTTCTCTTAAAAAGGTGGCCTGTCAATCAAATATATGTACAATCTAATATATGTACACATTAAAAAGGGGGCAGACCAAATGTTGTAGCTTGGAGCCTGTAGGCCATTTGCATGTGAGGATCATTCCAAACGGCATACCGAACTTCCTAGCAATCCAGGCTGTACATTCTCTCAGTGTATTCAAGGTGTAAGGGGGCTCACAGGTGGTTTCCCACACTGTCCTTCTGCTCGTGTTTTGGGGTCACCATCCAGATGGTCCACAGCTGCCCAATGTTTCATCAGGGTGACATTGGCAAGCCCCTCTCCCTTTGAACTACAATGATAAGAGTCCAACCCCACCACCACCCCCGGTTCAAGGCAGGAATCCCAATTAAAGCAGACCTGACAGGTGGTTGTCCAATTTCATCTTGAAGGCCAAGATGATCAGTGGCCACCTCCTGAGGTCATGGGTTCCCTTATCGTACTGCTCTTAACGGGACGTTTTTCCTGGCATTCAGGTGAAATCTGGCTTCCTGTCGCTTGAGCCCATCCTTACATGTCCTTTACTCCTGAAGAATCAAGAACAGATTCTGCCCCTCCTCTTTAGGACTCCCTTTCAAGTATTTGGAACGCGCTCTCTGATCTCCCCTCCATCTTCTTTCCTCAATGCTAAATAATGCCCAGTTCTGTCCATCTTTCCTCCTCCTCCTAGGGCTCGGTTTCCAGCCCCCTGATCCTCCTTGTTGCCCTCCTCTGAGCTTGATCCCGTTTGTGCAGCATCCTTCTTAAAATGTGGTGGGCGTCCAGAACGGGACACAGTATTTCAAATGAGGTTTCACCAGTGCCAAATAGAGAGCAGCACCTCGTGGAATTGGGAGACTCTCCTTCTGTTAACACAGCCTAAAATAGCATTGGCCTTTTTTGCAGCCACATGGCACTGTTGGCTCATATTCAGCTCGTGATCTATGACAATTCCAAGATCTTTCTCTCTTGCAGTATTCCTGAGCCAAGCATCGGCCACCTGCATTTTACGGGCGTCCCGCTGTGGAACAGACATCTGGACCAGAGCTAGCCCTGGTGTCTGTTCCACTGTGTCTCTTCTTACTTCCTGGCAACGCATCTAAAGAACAGGGATTGCTAGTGGTGTTTGTCCTCTAGCGTTCACATCATGCATGTTGAGACGGACTGTGGTGCTTTTTCTGTGAACTCCTTCCCTGGCCACCATGGCGTATCCAGAATTCAACCGCAGAGAACATAGGCCACAGTACAGCAGGTAGCGAAATATTTATTTTCATAAAACAAGGGTCATCATCATGAGCAGGGGTTTAAACGAAAATGGGGGAGAAGAAGAATCCCCCCC